AATGTAATCGGCAGGCATTTTTCCTCGCTCTCGACCTGGTGAACCCCACTGGTCACTACTTCGCACTAGAGATGCAGTCAACTTCGTTCTGTAGCCAGTCACTAACAAGTATCAGATTATATATTCAAGATTTAGTTGCTGGGGATTTGATTTGTTCAAGGTTTGATCACAGATCGATATCAACTGGAGAATCACTGGACAATCAGCGAGTACTGAACAGCTGTTTCATCCTTGTTTGGGACTCTTCATCAGTACTCAAGTCCTGCTAAAACCATGAACTGGTAAAAGTTACAATTCACGCACCATTGAATCTAGTCCGAGTGGTTGAATGGTCTTTGAGATCGTCTTGAAACTTGAAGGTCCGGGATTCGAATCCCGATTGGTGCGTACTGATGAAGAGTCCCAAACTAGGAAGAAACAGCTGTTCAGTGTTCCCTGGTGTCTTTACAGTGGTTCACCTACTGATGTCAATGCATAATCAAACTCTTGAGAATAAATGTTGTTCCGCTATTTGCTTATGGCTTAGAAAATAATAACAAGCCTCATCTCCCCCCCACCAGCATACGCCACCCGGTCAATGAATTACACCACGTTTATACATGTAAAATATCATATGGTATATGTCGAAGATTGTCATCTTTTCACATCTTGTGATGAATGAGATTATTTTTAAAATAAAGGACAGAGTTTCCTGGAGTTCAAGTGAGAAGTCATGACCAGTGAGGTGCATCCAGTCGCGAGTGAGGATGGGGTTCCCAGCGATGACATTGGTTGGTGGTCGCTCTAAATGCACCACGCATTGACAGAATCGGGTCCCAGTGGCTTGCCCTGTAACCGGGAGGTCCTGGGTTCAAAACCTGGCGGTGGGTGCGTACTGCCAATGATTCCCAAACTGCTGGGATGAAACAGCTGGCTGTCCAGTACTGGTTTTCAATGGTTCTCTAAGTGATATCAACCAGTCCGTGATCAAACTCATATAAGCAAATCTAATCCTTACAAACCAAACTCTTAAAAATAAAGTAGTTAAAACACCCATAGTGTGTAAAACGGTTGACACCTCAAGAATTTTCATGTATGTTGTATATAAACGAGCAAAGGTGCTTGGGTGAGTGTAATTGTGTTTCTTTATAAACATTAATTCATTCGGATAACCTTTGGTTATCTCTCTCTCTCACACTTTGCGCATGTATCGGCTTTTTTAATTAACACAATTGACCTATACTGTGTGTATATGCATTCATACATACTTTAATAGAGGTTGTGATTAACGCTCATATATACATTTGATAGAACAAAGATAGAATAAACATTAGGTTATATATATAAATTCAAAATTATTGATCATTATCATTGCGTGTGCGTGTGTGTGCGTACGTGAGCTCATCCATGAAATGAATTCAACTGG